TTGAGTTATAACGATTTTTATCTCGTTTAACAGTAGGTAATTTTTCGCAATTTTTCCCTAATTTTACCACTTTTCTAAAATAACAGCATAAAATAATTTTATTTAAAAAACCTTATTACAATATCATATAGTACTACATTTTATCTACATTTTAACCTAAAAATCACAATTGCACCTCAATTACTTTCCGAGATATTGACATTTTTTCGACAAAATTTTACGAATTTTTTCAGTAAATTTCACACTTTCACTCAAAACTCCACTAAAAACCCAACATCTCTCTATATAAATTCACTCAATCATAAATAACACATTCCTCAACCGTTTCAATATGTGTTTCACCAATATTCCAATATTGAGCAATGAATTACGAGCTGGGATTAAATTTTTTAATAACAAAATGACAATCGATACTCCATAGTTTCCACAAAAGCCAGTAATCCACATACACACACATACATCCACATACACATGCGTGAGATGCCCCGAATGCAGCAGTGCAGGACGCAGGACTAACGCGATTTGAATCCCGGTTTCAAAATGCGGCGCGCCGGAAAGTGGAATGCATTCGACATGACTGAGAGCAGAGGAGAGCAGCGCGAGAACGGCCCCGGCCCCGGCCCCGGCCGTGGCAGCAGACGCATTTGCATTGATTGCATTTATGGAAATTGCCTCGGAACGCCGGAGCCGACTGCACCAACTGTGCGCCGGCTTGCAATAAATGTAGATATCATAAACCTCGCGCGGCTACAGACCGCAAATTGCGAAATAAAACCAAATTGCAAACGGATTATTGCCATCATCACAAGGAAGAAAATTTGAAAAATTTTGTGAAAAATTACTTAATTTTGGATTTTTGATATAATTTATCATAAATAATAAATAGAAAATTAGGTTTTTAATAATTTTTCACTTTTTTCATAAAAAAAATTCGGAAAAAACTTGATTTTTGGCGTTTTTTGCTGTTTTTTTGAGAAAAACTTAAATTTTTTTGTATATTTACGTTTCTAGCAGCATTATTTTGGTAAAATGCATAGAAATAATAAAAAGTTGATACCAGAAATAGGAAAATTTGACATAAAATTGTTTTTTTTTTGTGTTTTTTTGCGTTTTTTGTTCCAAAAACCTAAATTTTGCAAATTTTACAGTTTTATCTTCAATATTTTAGTAAAATATAAATAAAGAAGAAAAACTAATGACAAAAACTAGAAAAACACAACAAGAAAACAGAAAAAACAACAAATTTTTAAAAATTTGCCAAAAAAAGTTGAAAAAAATCGTTTTTTCTTTAGTAAGTCCACGACTTTTCCTAATTTAATTTCCAAATATTAAAAATATTTTTAAAACTTTGATAAATATTTATCCTTTAACTTTTTTTTAAACTTTTTTCAATTTTTTTTCATCCAAAATTTTAAATTTTTTGCGTTTTTACTTTTTTTATGTCCTATTTAAAAGAAATAAAACTACAAAAAGTAGTACGAAGTTCCACTGAGGACGTGCAAGAGTGGTTGAGTGGAAGAGTAGAAGAGTGGAAGTCGTGCCGCGTTTTTATCGATTTTATCACCGCCAGACTGGGCGCACGCAGACGACGGGCGAATAGTTCGCGCTCGCCGTCGTCAAGTTTTCAACAGGTGGTCGACGTAGGACGTACAAGACCCACAAGGCCTTCCTCCTTACTACTTACTACTTAACTTGCACCACACACTACATAACAAACTCACCTATATTAACTAATATTAACTCAAATTCATAAAAAAATAACAAAAATAACAAAAAATTTTAAAAAGAAAAGTAAAAAAAAATTAATAAATAATCAGATTAATTAATGCTTAGATAAGTATTGATATATGGAGTATTAGGGGTAGTAGTGGATGCACCCTAAAAATAACTGCTTGTGAGGGGCGATGACGTAGCATGGTGAAGGTGTGGGCGTTCTATTCATCTCTCATCTCATCTCGTCGTACTCTTCTTTTGATTTGTATCCATCCGTATACTCGTACAGGCCAGGGAGAGAATGAATGAGTATGACGTCAGGCAGTGAAAGAAAACATGTGGGAGTTGTGTGGGAGTGAAAAAGGAAAAGAGTAAAAGAGTAAAAGCTCAAAAGCTCAAAGCACAACAAAACTTCTATATTCCACAATAAACATTTTTTTAATCATTAAAAACGTCAAAAATAGACATTTTTGCTTTTTTTTTTCTATTTTTGTCAAAAATTTTAGAAAAAAATAGGAAAGAGATGATTTTTTAGTGTTTTAAGTTGAGATGGAAGCTTACATCCTGTATTCTACATCCCTTGGAGTTAAAGCCTCAAGGGAATGGAGTACATGAACCAATTTTACGTTTTTTTCTTCCTTTTCTTTCAATTTTTTTTGTTTTTCTTTCTTTTTTTGTCGTTTTCTTGGTTTAAATTGATTTTCTTCTAATCCTTTCACTTATATTCACGTTTTCTGTCATTCTTTAGGTTTTTATGATTAAAAAACGTAAAAATTTTAAAGAAAAACACGAAATTAGCTTCAAAAATTAAAAAATTTAACTGTTTAAGGTGTTTAGGTAGGTATAAAAACACACCCTACCCTTATATTCCAAAAATTGAAGGGTGAAATAAAGGTACCTATCTATATGCAGCTGAAAACACAAATATTTCAACAATAACTTCGTACTTCCTAAGGTACCTACTTACTATACTTCCTATATAATTATCTCCATCTCCTATATACTTACATAATGACATAAATTTCCTCTGATTCCATGCATATACTTACCTCCCTACACTTACAAATACAAATACTTTCTAATTCTCCAACACACTCTACACAACACCCCTCATACCATATACCTACCAACACCACCAACACAAAGAAGCCTTATATACTTCACTTCAGAGCTTTCAATTTCTAGGGTTCCCTCACTGAAGCCCTACACGCTACACAAACACGCTGTGCTCATACACGCTCTCCCTCTTTACCAAAACGAAAATATACTCCACAAGTCTACACACTTCCCCATATACACACACACAAACACACAGAAAAAGAGAGAGGATTTCAATGTAATGGTGTGACTGGTAGCAACATAGCAACCAAAACCAAGGGTCCGGGTAGCGGGTAGCGAGTAGCGAGTAGCGAGTAGCGAGGAAACCGACGAAAACGTAAAACGCATCAGACCATCAGACGAAACTCTACGCGTACTCTACGAGTATATAAGGTGGAAGGTTGGCAGGCTCGGATATGCTCGGGGATTGTCGGGGATTTTGGGTTTGACTGTGCAGTTGGAGTTGGAGTTGGAGTTTGGTGCGCGTAGCTAGAGTGGAGACTTTGGGCTTATGCGTATACTTCAATTTCCTGTATAGGGGCTGTGTGTCTGTTCAGTTCGGTATTACGAGGTATTACCTACTGTGGGATTGGTATTCTTGAAGTATTTGAGAATTTTTCTTTGTTCCGGCTTTTGATGCGAGTTTCAATTCTTTCATTCATGTCATTATTGAATGTCTTTATTTTTTTGGATTTTTGGTGTATTATTGATGTTTTAATTTAAATATGTAGATAAGTATATAGGTACTTGTTATATACTTATGATAAGTAAGTATATAATGTAATTTACTTTTATTGTATGTGAATATTTCAATGATTTTGCAAAAAATGCAAAAATTGCAAAAAAATGTTGAATTTTTTTTTGAAACTTCAAAGTTTGTGATAAGAAAAACGGCACTTCCGGAATGAATTTAGCTATTCTGCATGTTTTATCCTGTTTAGAATTTAATCCTTTATAGCATATCCAAATTTGGTTACATTTGGATAATTAGTTTAGGAAATATTTGATAAACAATAGAAAAAAGCAAAAATTGGTTTTTTGAGATTTCGAAAAAGTTGAAATTCAAAATTAAATTACGGACTTTCTAGATTACATATAACTTTAGTGTAAACTTTACCCTTTGTAGGATTTAATCCTTTATAACATATCCAAATTTGGTAACAATTCGATAAAATTAGTGCAAAAAAAAACAAGAAAAATGTTTCTGAAACCAGAAAAAGTTGTACTGTAAAGGTAAAATTAAGCCGTTCCGGACGGCATATTAAATTTCTGCACCTTCAATCCCATAGAGAATTTAATCCTTCATAACATATCCAAATTTCAAATCATTCCTAATCACCAATAAAAAGATACAGCAACTTTTATGAAAAAAACTAATCAACACATTCGTCAATTTACATCCATTGTCAACTTTAACGTTAAAATTAACACTCTTGCCAAAAGAAATTTAATCATAAAAGTAGTCAATACTACAGAGAATTTAACCCTTAACAACATATCCTAACCTCAAAACTCACCTCGTAATAACCTTAAAGATACATCAAATTTTCTAAGAAAAACACCAAAAAATTAACTCCAATTTCATAACATTACTCATTTCCTATTACAAATGACATTATTTTGACATTTGACAGTATATATAATAAGCAACGTTGCCAAATAACCAACAACACTATCTCTCAACTATCAATTGTCAATTGTCAAAACAAAACAAACCAACACAACGCAACACCTCACGTCAAATACAATTATCATCTGTCATATATTCGCATTGTCATCTGTCATAAAAACCACAAAACTAAAACACTACTAATCCCACCATCACCCAATCCAATCCATTCACCGCGTACACATCACATCACCCGCTTCGTATTCCAACTCAAAATCCGCACACGAAACGAAACTCACCGAACGTTCATCGAAACACCGCCTGTATACACTCACCGCTCGCCTGTTCACACAGCGTCGTCGGTTGCGCAGCGCACAAAATCCACGACGTCGCCGACGACGAATATTCCGTATTCAACGTTTCACGCTGGTGCGCGCGTCCGCTGTAAATAAGGGGAGCGCAAGTAAATAACCAAATACACACAGCCACACACACACACACGCTATATACCACCTTTCCATCGTCGGCGCGCAGCCGGTCGAAACGTGCACGAACCCAACCGACACACACATCGTGCATCTCCGTGCGTTATATACTCGCCGCCTCGGCAACAACCGGCGCGGCGCGCACTCGTCAGTCACTCGTTCGCTTTCGTCGCGTTCACGTCGTGCGCACCGCGAACGCGCACAATGTTTATTTTCGGTTGCGGTTGCGCTGTCGAATGCATAATCGACGTATAACTAGCATACCACTATAACCTAACCTATAAAACTGAAACAATCGAATCGGCTCGTGAAGGTGTTAAGGTTGCGGCGATTATTTTTGCTCGGCGTGGTGCGTTGTGTGTGGAAGGTTGGTAATCGTAACAGTTGTGTAAACACGCGTCGCTATGCGTTCTTGGATTACCATCGTACGACGCATGTGCTGAGTGCTCGCTGTGTGCTGACTTTGGATATTTATCACAACCCGGAGTGAAACAAAAGTGCAAGTCATTGCAATTCGCCAATATACAAGGTTAGTATTTTCTTGGACATATTTCAGGTTATGTATGTTATTACCAACTGTTTTTGTGTGTTTTTCTAGTGTTTTTAATGAATTTTTAAGGTTATGTTGGCTATTCCGGATATTGTCACACACGTCTCGTCTTTTCTTCGTTATTATTCTCGAACTTTATTCTCGCCTTTCGCCTCCCTTGACGTTGTGTAGCGTCTGTCTCGCTTTGTAACTGGAATCGAACGGCCGCACACCACTCGTTGCAGTCTTCTTTGCTTTGCTCGACGCTGGTTGCTTGTGTACGCGCTGTGCATGTGCACGTTTACGCCATTCTTCTTCCTTCGGCTTTCTTTCTCTAGTCGCGCCTGGCCTGCATGGCATTAGCATGAGCTAGTTGCTTTGTGAGAACGTTTTCTTTTTTTTTTACAAGGGGGGCTATTGTATTGTTTGGCTGTGTGTGTGTGTGTGTGTGTGCCTTTTTTACCTCCAGCGTGTTTGAAGGAAAAAGTACGCGTTTAAGGTTTTAGTTGTGTGTGGATGGACAAATTGTGAAATTGGCAGTATGGGTTACGTTGCGTTTCTTTTCTTTTTTCTTTATTTCTTTCTTTGGGAAGTTTGGTGTGTCTTCAAAATGGGGTTAGGGGTTGTGTATGATATTAGGGTTTATAGAAAAAGGATTAAATTTAGAAGGGGTTAGACTTGTTTTAGGTTGAGGTTGAGACTGGGAATGTGTAAAAAACTAACCTTAAAGTTGTGTTTGATGTTTTGGTTTTTTGGTTTTTGGTTTTTGGGAGGGGGTTGTAGGATATCTTGATAACGGATTATCCGAAATCTTTGAAAGTTGGATGTTTTGTAGAGTAATAAATTCTGAGGTTAATATGATATAGATTAGGTGAATATTGCTACTGTGGTCTTTGTAAACTAACCTCAAAGTTAATGATAGGTGTAAATTTATGTAAAGTTGATTTTTCTTCAAAAACTTGTTGTATCTTCTCATGGAAGATAGGTGTATGTTTGAAATTCCGATATTTTATAGAATATTGAATTCTGAAGGTAATATTACAAAGATTATGTGTTTAAGCCTTCTCTGGACTTTGTAAATTTAGTTCAAAGTTGATGAATTATGCAAATTTTGCTATTTGCCTAGGCTTTTCTTTCAAAAAACAGTTGTATCTTCCCATTGAAACTTTGGATCTTTTTGAAATTTGAATATGTTATAAAGGATTAAATCCTGAGGAGAATTCATAGCGTGCCAATTTTATATCCATACCAGAAAATCCTTAATTTTAGCTTTAAAACTCAACTTTTTAATGATTTCACAACATTAAATTTATGCTTTTTGTCAACAAGTTGGCAATTATTTCCTGATTGCGTTGTTCGAAACTTTTGATATTGAGATATGTTATCAAGCATTAAATTTTAAGATAAGCCTACTTTGTGTTATCTTTATCTTTGAACGGGGACTTCCTTAATTTTAACTTCAAAATTTATCTTTTATCGCTCTCAAAACAGGTTTATGTGTACACTTTTCATTAATTGTTAAATATTTCGAGACTGAACGAAACAAATTAATTCTGAGAGTATTTCTAGGTAGATTGTTTATATACGACCCTTGCAAATAGGTTAGATCAACGCCTAAAGTTGATTGTTACTCATACATAATCAAAATTGAATAGACGCACTTTAAAGGGTTGTATCTTTGATATGAACATAGGGGTAGTTATAAAATTTGGATATGTGCTAAAGGGGTAAATTCTGAGGGTGATGTAAAACAAACAAGGTATAAATTTTGCTTTGAAAGTAAATTGTTTTCACTTTAAAGTATTTGAAACTTTCTTCAAGAACATTTCGCAATATTAAAGAAAACTTCAAATATTTTGAAAATGGATGCTTGAAACCTTTCCAATTTTGGATATCTTATTAAATATTAAATTCTGAGGGTAGTGTGATATAAATTTCTTCGATTCACTTACTAAAAAGGGTTGAAAATTAACCCCAAAGTTGATGTTTAAAAACCACCGCAACTAAAACATCGTCAACTTTTTCGAAAACCTTCAATATCATCAAAACTAATCATCAGATTTTTATAAAACCTTCTAAATCAACAAATTATTAAATTCCACATATAATAAACAATACATTTCTACAAAATTCCAGTTTATAACTATGCATAACCCTTGCTTAAATCTGCATATTGCCTTCCATCCCTCAAATCATCTGTTGTGACTTGTTGCAGATGACGAACATGGACCAAGAGCAGCGCGACGCGGTGGGGCACGCGGCCCCAACGAGCGTGCAACACGCGCCCGCACTAAACTACCCCATCGCCAAGGGTAGTTCCGTCGCCGTCGTCGGTGGTGGCAAAAACGTGCCGCTTGACTTTGATACGCCCAAACCTGCGACGATCAAAGCGCCACGTACGCCGACACCCATCCCGACCACAACCACCACTACCACTCAACCAGCAACCACCCCAGCCACCCCCAAGAAGAACGAGAAGATCAAACTGCACGAGGTGAACCCGTACCTCACGTGCCTCCTTTGCAAAGGGTATTTGATCGACGCCACGACTATTTCGGAATGTTTACATTCCTGTAAGTCTTCATACTAAAAGATTTATTGATTGTATTGTGATTGATTTGTCTTCTTTTTGTTGATGTTTAGTTTGTCGGAGTTGCATCATCAAATTCCTACAGGATAACAGTCATTGTCCTGAATGTGAGGTGGTTATTAATAAGACCAAACCTAATTTAAAGTAAGTTTTCTTTTTTTTAATTTTTTTTAAATTAAATTTTCTTTGTTTTTATTTTTTTTTAAATTAAATTTTTTATTTTTTCTTTTTCTCTCTGTAGGCTGGATAAAACCCTCCAGGATATCGTCTACAAGCTAGTCCCCGAACTGTACCTGAACGAAATGACGCGCCGGCGGCAGTTTTACGCCGGCCACCCCGCCGGGTTGAAAGCGCCCCTGTCGCCAGAGCAACGCGGGGATGATACCGAGCGCATCGTCTTCAACGCACGCGACAAATTCAGCCTATGTCTGGAATACGTCAGGTAACGATCGTTTTTCGCTCTTATTCGCTCGTTTCGAGCCGGAAATTGTCGCGTTTTATATGTGCGTTCGTTAAATTCGTGTTCATGGCGCCGTGTGGAAAAATACGCGCGCTCCCGGTGATGTTTATATCGACGTGATAAAAACGTGCTGATGTATTTAGCGAGCCGCGGTCTCACACTTTCTAGAGAAGCTAGAGTAGAGAATGTGGAGGAGAGGAGAGGAGTACGTGGTGACAACCTTGGAGATGACTATTTTGTCTCGTGTGAGGTTTTTTGATGTTATTTGGGATGTTTTAGAGCGAATTGATTCAAATTTGAGGGGTTTTTGTTAGGGATTAGGTTGGGAATGGTATTTTGTGTGGGATCTAGTGGAATTTGAATGGGAAAATGGGTAAATTTTGGTTTAAAATTGAGTTTGAAAGAATTTTAGTGATTTTTTTGTTTATGTCCTTGTAAGTCAGAATCCTTTCGGTGAATTTTTACCAAATTTGTTTCTGATTATAAAGGATTAAATTCTGCGTTCTGTGACATTTGATCAATTTCAAAATTATCACTTAAAAGTTGTAAAATTGGTGTTTAAATTTCATTATTACTAATTTTCAGTTATTTTGGTATTTTTCTATAATTATCTTTATAATTACTAATTTTACAGACCAATTTGTACCAAACTTAACAATAATATAAACAATTAAATTCCGAAGTGAATTGTACTCGCGATATTTCAAATATTTTACGGGAAACTCTTCAAATTTGTCTCCAAGGTTGACGGTTCCGAAAAATTTTAATTTTTTCGAATGTCACACTTGATTTGTGGACAAGTACCTATTGATTATAACTAAGTATTCTGTTGGTCAATTTGCTTCAAATTTCATATTATTATAGAAAATTAAATCTCGATCAATATTTCATTTGAAATTTTTCAAAATTTTAACGGGAAACTACGAAAATCTGCCAAAAACCTGCAAAAACTGATAATTTTGCTTTTTCTTGGTTTTATCTTCATAACGTATTACCCTGTATATTAAATTTGATAAAATTTATACCTATTGTACAAAATTAAATTCTGAATAGAACCTAATATGTGATTTGCTCAAATTTGATCAGGAACTTTGTCAAATCTTCTTTCAAAGTTCAAAATTCAACAAATTTCAACGTTATTTTGAAAATATTTACAAACATCACAATAAAACAAAAATTTACCAATAAATTTGTTTATAACTTTGCATAACGCATAAAAATTACATTCTTTAAAAAGTCTACTACAAATTTGATCAAATTATTACTTCTAATAATTAAAAAATACAAAAAATTCCAAATTCTCACGTTTAAAAGTATAAAATTCTTCAATAAATTTAAAACCTTTGTCCGCTTGCAATTATAAAACCCGTGACAAAAACCTGCGGAGACGAAATTCAATTCCTCACAAACGAGATCTCCGCAAAAGAAAATTCTCGGCGTGCCAGCGGCGCGCTAAATAAAAAATGCAGTTACTCAACATTAGCATTAACTTTAACAAAAGTTGCTTATGCATTTGGCGCGCATTGTAAAACTTTCCATCCGTGAAACGCACGCCGCACGTAGGTACAGTACAGTACTCATATACTCACACCATACTCATACAGTACGTAACGCGCATTCTCACACACAAACACACACACAGACATAACATTACGACGACGCCGCCGAAACGGGCGCGATATAATAAACTACAAACCCGGCGTGTGCTTACACTCTCGAGGCTTATGCAAGCCGAGTACGAAGTACGAATATACGCGCAAACATATTTATATTTACGCGCAGTCGTCGGAGAATATACAGTGTGTTGGGTATCGCCATGTATACGTGATCGAGGAGAGAAGGAAGGCGAGCCGACGGGCGACGACGAGCAAACCGTGAAACTCGAAACAGCTGGCACGCACCAACACACACACAACACATACATACATACACATGGATATCTACTGCAGAGAGAGAACAAACCGCCTTTCAATCGATGCTTGCCTCGTTCGGAGAGCGCCGTGGAAAGAAAATTGATCAAATGATAGGAAATGCTTGAATGTGAGCGTTAAGAAAATGACACTCACACATTTATATGTATAGGATATACTTATGAGGAGTTGGAACGCACGCGAGTTACGTATTATTAATGTCCTAACCTTAGGGTTGTAATTTGTGGTGGCTGGCTTTTCAATAAAACTATATTCGCTCGCTGTGTGGTGGTTGTCAGGCTGGTCTTTGCTCGCGCACGCGGCACGGAACATTTGAGTGCTTTGTTTTTAATATTGTAACGGCGGGTGTAAGGGGTATGCAGGGTTGAGGAGAGGGAGGGGGTATTATGAAGGGTCTGCTGTTTGCTTCCCGTTTTCGAATATTTTGTATATTTCTATGCGCTTTGAAAGTTTCTAGACTTTGGAACTCACTTAGGCATAAATTTCAAACTTGCGACGAGAGTTTTTGAGGGTTTTGCGATATAAGTTGCGATTGCGTGGGTGGATTTTGTTGAAATTTGTGAGGGTTGTAAGGAATTAAATTCCGGAGGATATGGGGATTTAATTTTATTGGTTTTTGGTTTTTTATAAAAGAGTTTTACAAATTTATCATTTTTGAGGTTGATATTTGTGAAATATGCGTATTATACCCTGTTTTGGTGGTTATTTTGTTTAAATGTTATGTTATATTATAGGGAATGATATTCTTTATAGTGTGGAGTTTGAATTTTGTTTATACCTGCGATAGTTTTTGTTTTATGCGAGTTTAAAGTTGACGTTTTTAAAGAAAATCGTGAATCGAAAATTTCAGAATTGACAACAGTCTACAAAAACGTTAATTATTCAAAATTCTATTGTTGCATTGAGTTTAAATTTGGATACATTAAAGAATAAGAAATTTAAAACAAAATATGATCAATTCTTGTTTAATATTTCAACTGTAACTTCTTCAAATATTCCTTCAAAGTTACGTACACTTTGGAAGTATGTAGTACACGTTTGTCCGAAACATTTGAATGAACTTTAAACTGTCATAATTTAGCATTAAATCATTGAATATAGATAAAATTCTCACTAACTGATAGAGTATTTAATGCTAAAGAACAAAAACAATAGAGGTTGTTGGTTTCTACACGTTTAAGTGGTTATTTTTACGTTTAAATGATGAAATTCTCGAAAATTTGTTCGATTGGCTACATGTTTACTAAATTGCTGATAATTCTAAATTTTATCGGCCATTTTGTTTGAAATTTTGTCACATTATAAAGTATTACATCCCTTATTCCCTACAATTTAAATTATGCTTGTATCTTCAGTAGTTTTTCTTTAATTCAACTTTGAAATTTGATAACTTCTCAAAATTTTACCGAAAAATTGACTTTTTCTAAAAAATACAAATTTCATCCAATTCCATTGATAAATTCCTCTCATTTCTGATAGGTATATTACACAGAGAAGAATATATTAACCGTAACTGTTAGTTAACTACCACTATTTAGATAACTTTAACCCTTAAATTAAACGCCAACCAACTTGCGCATTCCTCCAAAAACCAGTTTTATACCCGTCGGTACCTTTTCCGCCGCTCCTCTAATAATAATTTAATTATCATTAATTTATCCCAAACCCAAGCATTCCCTTAAAATATCCACCAGATAGCATCCGTACAACTTCACCTCTTACTCCCCTCCACAACTCCAAAGTCCGTCTATTCTACCCCAGGGCGCCCTCTCAACGAACTTGCATTTTGTTAATGTTTCTTTTTCTTTTGCTGCTTCTTTTGTGCAACCAAAAGAAAAAACGTGATAACGGCACAAGTACAACCCTCCGGTATTCTTCCGAATGCGAGCAACATTTCTTTTATTTTTCTTCTCGCACCAACGCAGACGCGCTTCGACTCCCGACACTTTCGAGTTAATAATGCGTTACTAATGACCTCAAGCAAACGCACGCCGTAGAAAAAGAAACATAAAGCAATGTAAAGAAAGAAATCAGCTGAGAATGATTATAAATGAAATAAAAATAAATAAATTAGATCCAATAAAATAAAATTTAAAAAAATATATTAAAAAATACTTAGTGACAAAGACAAACCCGTCTCTGTAACCGAGTATAAGGGTGCAACGTGCACAGGGCGGAAGCCTCACCGCCGACCGAGGAGGGTGGCGGAGGAGGCAAGCGAAGGGCAGGCAGAGGCGGGCAGGCACAAAACACACCAAAATCGATATCGTCTATAAATAATGCACTCTCTAGGGGTTGCTGGGGATGTTACGTGTCTTTTTCATCCCCCGCACATAAAACATTTAATTCGAATCTTCAAATCTCGCCACCAAAAAATATTTATTGTTTATTACAGTGACGATTCCACTCCCGGTGCTATTCTACTACCGCCAAACACCAATGACTCTTTAGATGTCGCTACAATCATCAACAACAATACTCTGGACGCTAAAACCAACCCCAAGGAGACCGAAAACAATATGCGAAGGTATCTTCAATGTCCTGGCATGTGTCGTATTGATGTTTTGAAGAAATTCGTCAGGAATAAATATACAGTTGATACGAATAACTACCATGTAAGTTTTTATTAAATTTTTGGGGTTTTATGGGTTTTTATTGATTTTTTGTGGAAATTTCAGATTGATATTTTGTATAAACGCGTTCCTCTACCAGACCACTACACACTTATAGATATAGCTTATATCTATTCATGGAAAAGGGTAAGTTATATTTTTTTCCCCTGAAAATTAAAGTATTAATGTTTTTGTTGTAATTTTTTGTTCCCAGAATGAACCTATGAAGTTTTTCTTCCGTATCACTGATATCCAGCAAGTTCGCGACCGTTTCGACTTCTATGACAATTCTACAACCACATCCCCACTACCAACATCACCACCAACCAAAGACCTCATCAAACCACCCAGCGAGAGTGAAACAAAAGTGAAAAAATCAAAATCCGTGCGGTTTCATAGTGATGTAATGAAGGCTCCGGTTGCTACGAGCACCTCGATCAAAATCAAAAGTGATAAGAGTGATAAACCGGATAAAATTGATAAACTTAACAACGGTGTGATAAACGTGCGTGCTTTTACACCCATGCCTACACTTGCAAAAGATGCTGCTATCGATGTTAACTGTGACGAGTGGTTGAAGAAACAAGTGAAACTCGCCAAAGAACTCAAAAAATCAAAGAGTAAAGAAGTGAAGAACGCTATAAAAGATATCAAGGAGACGATTAAAGATATCCAGGCGACTATCAAGGATATCAGTAATAAAAAACCTGTGCTGTTGTCGAGTGCGAAATTAAAAAGTGATAAGCGAATTCATTATAAGTCTACTACTATTGCTCCACGGTTGGATCATCAGGTGTCTTCGATTAAAAAGGATTTCCCCAAGGTGGAGATTGATCCGGATTATAAAGTGAATGCGTTGACTGAGATTGCCGCAGTGGATAAAGAACAGTTTCTTAAATTGATGTGTCTACAAGCTAAGAATTCGTCGAATCCTGCTACGAATCAAGTTAATCTAAAAAATGATCAAAATTTAAACCAAAGAAAGACGTCTCCAATTCCCATGAGTGGTTCATCTCCCAAATCTCCTAAACAACAGGGTCAGAAACGGAAATTGGCGAGTCCTGTACCAGATGTGAGTTTAATCAAGTGTAAACCTGCTAAAGAGCCACTGAAAGAAGTTAAAAAACCTAAGCTGGTGGTTAAGAAACCTCCAAAAGTTGCTAAAATCCCTAAAATACCCAAAATACCGAAAATTCCTAAGGTTATTAAACCACCCAAAGTACTGTCTGGTTTTGTACCACCTGTTGTGATACCTGTTATTCCTCTAAAACCAAAAGCAGAAACAGAAAGGGTTGTAAACTTAGAAGAACCCAATTTGAAGAGTTTACTCAACACCTGTAAGATACCTTCGAGCTTGTCTATAACCTGTGTGAATGGAGGTGTTACCGATCGGGAGAATCAGATCAAACCTGTGATTAATCACATTGAAATCTTGAAATTACCTGAAGTAAGGGAGGTTAGAGAGGTTGCTTCCCCGGATAGTACTTCTATCAAACAAGAACCTAGACAGGTCTCTGTTTCTCTCCCTCCCAGTGAAGATACAAAATCATCTTCTAAGGAAAAGTTAGAAAAAGTTGGTACTACTATGAAACTACAAAGCAAACAAGAGTCTCTTAAAAAAGAAGATGTAAAGGATCCGATTTGTAAAGAATCTGAGTTGTCTATCACCATCACAATGGAAAAAGAAGCTGATAGGAAGGATATCAAAGAAGATATCAAACTATCTCCTAGTATGGGTGTACATCCGAATTTACCTAAGGTTATACAACCTACTCCTACAGGAAGGAATATAAATTCATTCCAGAAAATGTTTGAGGATACAGTGCGGAAGCGTAATGAAGCAGCGGCGGCAGCTGCAGCCAAGGGTGTTAATATTAATAAAACCAAGGAGACTATTGTCATTGATCCCATACAGGATAATACAAAAAAAACTGAAGAGAAAAATTCTGCTGGTAATAAAAGAAACATCCTCGAGATTGCTTCACAATTATATTCAAAGAAAACCAAACTAGAACAGGATCCATCTACAAAAGAAGTGGATATGGTGACTAATGCCCAAGGAAAAGTCGCGATCCCCCGCCTGAAGAAACCCGAACGTACCGAAACCCTCTCGAATCTCCACTCGAATAAACTAGCCTTGAATTATTCGGTTTCCATCAACCAATCACCTCAGAATGAGAATTTGGTTACTTCTACGACTACAACCAAAATAGACGCGTCTCCTACTTCCCTTTCCAGGGAAGGGTTGTCTCCTTCACCTAAGTTCAGTATGAAACAGGGTAGTCCAAGAGGAAAACCTAAGTCACCTCAACCAAGACCTTGTGATGTTATGTCACCGAAACCCATTGCTCCTAAAGGACCATCAAATCCACTACCAGGAAAAACATCATCATCATCTCCGAAGAGTATTTCCATGCCTGCTTTATCCCCATTATCTCATATGAGTATGAGTCCACAACCTTTGGCGTTGACTAAACTCCCACATTCTCCACGTAGTGATAAACCCCTACAACCCACACCTGCTCTATCCCCATCCGGGTTATCCCCGGCGAATAAATTGGACGTTAACCAACTCCAGGAGAAATACAACCTGCAAAATCTTGCTCAGTTGAGTGCAAGTTTTAATTTCCCGGGTGCTTTTCCTCATCACCCAAATGGTCATCATCAAGCAATGGCCGCCATTCAACAAGCAGCGATGTTATATGGAATTCAACAAACACGTCCGTGGTTTAACATGCCGCCTGCAAACATGGAGCAGTATGAGAAGTTTTTCCAGAGTTTGGGCGCGAATCAAACCAAATCCCCCGGTGGTCAGAATCATCTCCTTACCAAGGAGAACTGACGAAGTCAATCGTCAATTTTCGTCAATGTTTACCGATTGGTTAGCTAACTAGCGTACTAGCTTTCTCTGTGGTTGAATTTATTGTTGATTCTTGATTGATGTTTTTGTTTGAGCTCTTATCTATTATTATAAGATTATTATTATTATTATTTATTGCAAATGTGTGCCAATGCTGATGAATATTGGTCCAAATTTATAAGGCGTGTATTTGAATTAAGTATTAGTGAAAGAAATTAGTTTCTTTTTTTTACTATACGTTATATTATGGGTTTAAGTTCCGATGGTTGCGTTAGGGGTGCGAGAAACCAACGAGTCGTTAATTTAATTTGTTTTGCTGCGAGAGTATGGCGTATGACGAAATGATATGGAGAAATTAATATAATTGTACAGTTATTGTAAAGAATTTGCTTAACTAATTATTATATTGTATGTAATTGTAGTCGGACATTTATATTGTATATATTTCGTAATATGGAGGAACGTAAAAAATATTTAGAAAAAATATTAAATAGGGTTTTATTTGATAATATCCCAAGTTTTGTTCTTGTTTCAGGTGTGTTAAATTTTTTTGTGTTTAGAAAAATCGTGATATCTTGACATCTAATTATCGGAGATTAATAAATGATGTGTTGGAAGATGCAGAATTTAAGTGAGAATATCCCACGTAAGTTTCAAGGTTGTATGTGGAACCGTTAATGAGATAAAAGGGTTTTAGTGAGGGTTAGTTTCTTTGTCCTATTTATAATCTGTTTTTAAATTTGTTGTAACTTCAGAACCAAAAGACGATGAATAATGAATGATATGTCATTGGATGCAGAATTTTAGTGGGAATAATCCACGCAACCTTCAAGTTTATATTTGAAACCATTTTGGAGATAAAAGGGTTTTTGTGAAGGTTTGTACTTTTAGCCCATCTGAGACCTATTTTTAAATTTGTTATAACTTTTGATCTAAAAATCGTAGGATAATGAGTAAAGTGTCATTAGATGTAGAATTTTAGTGAGTATAAACCATACTAGAGTTAATTTCACAGAAACAACCCTTCCGGAGATAAAGGGGTTAAAGTGACGTTACGTACTTTTATCCCTATTTAAGAAGTTACAAAATTTGTTATAACTCGTGAACTAATAATGATAGAATAATGAATGAACCATCAGTAGATACAGAATTTATCCAAAAATAACCCCTATCAATCTCAAATTGATATCAATAACGATTATAGAGATATAAGGGTTTAAAGGGCTGATGGTAAATTTACGCCTATGTAAACAATGAACAAAAATCGTTATAACTCGGAAACTAAATGAGATACAGAAACAATTCAAGTGTCTACAGATTGGCCATTTGCACCTCTACAAAATATAGTTTACACAAAAATGATATTGTTTATATTTTAGCGGTAAATTAACTTTTTCTAACAATTTTCTACCAAAAACTCAATTTTTTTCGTCTAAAATTAAAATTCTAACTTTATCACCACTCAAAATCATACAAAAATACTATCAAAAGCTAAAAAATAAACCACACAATCAAACAAGCTTAAATTTTGTATCTAAAACAATTATTTAAACAATTAAAATCCTTATAATATTAATATTAATCTCTCAATGACTCTGCATAATATCTTTCCCATTTCACTTTCATTCCTACATCGTAATTTCCTATTAATTTCAATTTCAAGGCTTTTCCCGCACCGCCGGAATGTTTACGCTTTACGACAAGATGTGTCTGCGAATGGTCCGCACGGCGCGCTCAATGCGACCGAAAAACCGGCATTCAACCAGCCCGACACGTTGCACGTTATATAAAAGTTATAAAACATTTAGATACGCGTCCGACGGTGTCACTATCGCAACACGCCGTCAACACACAACCAAAACCAACCATAATAATCAAATAATCACACAATTCATACTCTAAACTCTAAAAACTTAAAAAACTAAATTTTATTTTATTTTATTTTCACGCTTGTGCTTTATTTTCTCCCCAGCAACTGAATTCGAGCGAAAATACCGCTGCTATATCCCTTAAACAGAGATAGAAAACATTTACAGTGTTGCCAAACATCCACTCAACAACTTACTCTTTCTAACTTTTGATTTCATAAAAGTATAGTGTTTGTGTATGTAGAAGAGTAAAAGAGAGAGTGTGATACTCTTGGCAACACCGCACTGACTGCGCGCTTGTTATCCCGAAGCATGTGAGAGCTTCGAGCTTCACAGCGCACACAAACACCGAGCGGCGTATGCTCGTGACGGATCGTTCATGTCCGTAAATTAATATAATTGCCTCAGAGACCGGGAGTGATTCATGATTCACTGCTACACTTCACCAAACCGGCGAAAAGCTTTTTAATAAATATTTAACGCGAATTTCAATGAAATTTAGTTAAAATATCAAAGAAAAACATTTTTTATTTCTACGAATGAAATAATATGAAATATAACACCTGGCGTAGTCTAACCACAAATTTAATTAACCACCCATCAATTTATGGCTTTATTAATTCGGGTCATTATTTATTATCCTACTGGGCTCGTGCCTTTCGTGTTTTACGATTCTTTTGTACTTTTTTACGTTTTATTTCCTACGCTTGACTTCTTTTTCATTTTCTTTTATATTACTTACGCAACATTCGTGTTTTAACGGTGTACTTATCCTCCACCTGTTCATTGTTCTATTTTACATCCCAAAACCGACTTTTCAAGTAAACTTTAATCATTTATGAAGAAAAAATGTTTTTGCAAATAAATTGCAAATAAAATGTGGAAAAACAGATGTTTTTAAGGTTATTGAAGGTTGTTATGAGTTTTACTGTCATTTGTCATTTGTAGCACGAGTTTTCTTACCGATTCTTGGAAGGGCTTTGAAAGGGTCGCCAACCGTTACAGCAATTCGAGCTTTTTGCTCTACGGAATTGTATTCCATGGCTTTTACAGCTTTACCACCCGCTTGGTGATTATTATCCGAATTAGACGCGCATTCTACAGACCAATATGGCTGATTTACGCATGTGAGCCAACGCCCCAATTAAACTTTCTCTCATTTTTCATTTTTCACTGTTTCACTACCAACTTAACACTAAATCACCCTAGATATCATTAAAAGATACACTAGGTAATATTATTTTAATAGTTTTAAAGCTATCACTATGAATTTCCAGTGGAAATCCGAAAATTTGTCGATTTACGACGCAGGATCAAAGTCCAAGTCTCCGAGAACAAAGACATTCCCTTTTTTTACTCGTAACTCTGTTGGTTTTGCACCAAATTGCCTGAAATTTTATACTTACCTTGTCCTTTTTATCCTCTTTCGATTGATGTATCATTTATCCTTCTAGTGTTTATAGTTTGTGTTTTTCACAGAATGATTTTACGCTGAGCGTTGTTGATCGTTGTCAATTTGGTTAGCGCGGTGAGTGGACGCATGAGGCGTGTCCCACGCGCAGGCAGCAAATGTGAGCTGGGGCGAGGCGGGCCCCAAGCGTTTTATCACTGCCTGCGCTCGCTTTCTACTCGTTTGTTGGGTTTCGAGGCGGTGCGCTCGATACGCTTGCATCGAACGGTGGTTTTGTGCTGTGTGTGTGTGTAAATGAGTTTGCGGCGTTTGCCTCGTTCGTCGGGTCGATACCGCTGGGACCTTCAAACGACCTCTAGGTGTTTTATTTGTGCCGCATTCAAGCAGCTAGCGTACGACTAGCGTGGCTAATTTTGTTCTTGTATTGTTTGTAGAGTCGTCAAACTTCTACTGCTGTATTTTGATTTTTTTTTGTTGGTAATGAATATAAACAATATTTTTTTGTAGATTGTGGTTGATATCACTTTTACAATGTTTATGCGTTGTGTATGGGTTATACACAGTGCATGAAGTGTATCTTTATCACTAGTCTACTATATTTGTTTATATTTTGTTCGTGGTATGTTTTTGTGTGGTATTTTTATCTTCTTGTGTTGAAAATAAAAAATATTTTAACTAGAAAGTTACTTCTAGCGACATCTACTAAGTTAAAATTGTAGTTTCAACACTACTCAAACCGCCACTTTTAAAAAATGAACTAATATTTTTATTTATTACTGTCTTAAAAGTATTTACCAATTAATTTTGTAGATAAAATAATATCTACAAAATTATCTAAGAAAACTCTAATAAATCTTAACTTGTTAAAAAGTAAAATAATGAATACCTGGAATATTTTTCTTAAAAACTTAACACTAGAGACGCCTATCGGAGTATTTTTTAAACATGATACAAGCAGCTCCACCATAATGTGTATTTCAAACATTTGAACTAAAACTATAACCTTACAACCAAACGCACCGCAAACGTTGTTTTGCCTTGCTTATATCCCAAAACCGCGTTGTTTTAACTCAAAAATCACTCATAAATAAACAGAAATAAGCCCAAAATGGATTCTGATTTATACGATGAGTTCGGTAACTACGTCGGTCCTGAACTAGACAGTGATGATGACGATGACGAGCCCGATAATCTCCAAGACGACGATGAACAACAAGAATACGATGTAAGTTAAAATTTTAAAACATTTTAAACGCATTTATAACTAATAAATAAATAAATAAACACAATTAGGATGAGCATATGGACGATTCCGAGCCACAACCCATGGCTATTGTCCTCCATGAAGACAAAAACTACTATCCATCAGCTTTACAAGTTTATGGACCTGATGTAGAAACAATTATTCAAGAGGAAGATGCACAAGCTTTAGATGTCCCCCTAGTAGAACCAGTAAAGAAGAAAAAGTTCCAACTTAAAGAGCAGGACCTTCCTGATACTACATACAGCATGGAGTAAGAATTTAATTATTTTTATGTAGTGATTAATATTAATAAACTTAAATAAATTTAAAAATAGGTTTTTGGCTGATATGATGGATAATACATCACTAATCAGAAATGTAGCCCTTGTGGGACATCTCCACCATGGCAAAACAACATTTGTTGACTGTCTCATCAGACAAACTCATCCAGATTATCAAGATAATGAAGAGAAAAACCTAAGATACACTGATATGTTATTCACTGAACAAGAAAGAGGCTGTTCTATTAAATCCGTTCCTGTGACACTTCTCCTGCCTGATATTAAATGCAAAAACTACTTGATGAATATTTTTGATACACCAGGTAAACTCTACCCTCAAAAACTAATTTCTCTTAATAAAAACAATAAATTTCAGGTCATGTAAACTTCTCTGATGAAGTAACAGCTGCAATGCGTCTCTGTGATGGCATAGTCCTCTTTATAGACGCAGCTGAAGGTGTAATGCTAAACACTGAACGTCTCCTCAAACACGCCGCGCAGGAACGTCAGCAAATCACTGTCTGCATCAATAAAATTGATCGCCTCATGCTGGAACTCAAACTTCCGCCACAGGACGCGTATTATAAACTGCGTCATATTGTCGAGGAAGTAAACGGCCTTCTAACTTTATATTCCGATGATGCCAATCCTTATATTGTATCACCTGTGCTCGGAAATGTTTGTTTCGCCAGTTCGCAATACGGCGTATGTTTCACGTTGAAATCTTTCGTGAATATTTACAGTCAGTATTACGAAGGGGTTAATATCGAAGAATTCTCGAAAAGATTATGGGGGGATATTTATTTCAACAACAAAACTCGCAAGTTTACCAAAAAAGCACCGCATAATTCAGCACAGAGAAGTTTTGTCGAGTTTATACTCGAACCACTTTATAAAATCTTCGCGCAAGTTGTTGGAGATGTAGATTCAAGCCTTCCTGAAGTTTTGGACGAGTTGGGGATTAAATTAAACAAACAAGAGTTGAAGTTGAATATAAGACCGTTGCTGCGATTAGTTTGTAATCGTTTTTTGGGAGATTTCAGTGGTTTTGTTAATATGTGTGTGGAACATATTAAATCACCGCTTGAAAATGCGAAGAATAAGATTGATCACATTTATACTGGGCCCAACACTAGTAAAATCTATGATGACATGGCTAATTGTGACCAGGAAGGTCTCCTTATGGTAAATATTAACTTTTTCAACAAAAAAAAAAAACAAATTTAATGCTAAAATTTCAGGTTCACAGCTCGAAAATGTATCCGACTGAAGATTGCACCTTTTTCCAAGTGTTAGGACGTGTAATGAGTGGTACCCTACACGCTGGAACAGATGTACGTGTCCTTGGTGAAAACTACACTCTACAAGACGAAGAAGACTCAAGAATCCTCACAGTTGGAAGACTATGGATCTACGAATCACGTTATAAAGTCGAATTAAACCGTGTGCCAGCTGGTAATTGGGTATTAATCGAAGGAATTGATCAATCCATAGTGAAAACAGCCACGATAACTGATTTAGTTATACATGACGACTTGTACATCTTCAGACCTTTGAAATTCAACACTCAAAGCATCATAAAAATCGCCGTGGAGCCCGTGAATCCATCCGAACTGCCGAAAATGTTAGACGGACTTCGAAAAGTCAACAAATCTTATCCTCTACTCACAACAAGAGTAGAAGAAAGCGGTGAACACGTTGTTCTTGGCACTGGAGAGTTATATCTTGATTGTGTCATGCACGATTTACGAAAAATGTATTCTGAGATTGATATTAAAGTGGCGGATCCAGTTGTGGCATTTTGTGAAACAGTGGTAGAAACAAGTTCATTGAAGTGTTTTGCAGAGACACCCAACAAAAAGAACAAGATTACCATGATTGCTGAACCCTTGGAAAAAGGATTAGCTGAAGACATCGAAAATGAATCAGTACAGATTAATTGGAATAAGAAAAAACTTGGAGAATTCTTCCAGACGAAATACGATTGGGATTTATTAGCTGCACGAAGTATTTGGGCGTTTGGCCCGGATGTAACCGGTCCGAATATTCTAGTTGATGATACTTTACCTTCGGAAGTAGATAAAGGTTTGTTGAATTCAGTGAAAGATTCAATTGTGCAAGGGTTTCAATGGGGTACAAGGGAAGGTCCCCTCTGTGAGGAACCCATAAGAAATACCAAGTTTAAAATCTTGGATGCGGTGATTGCGAATGAGCCTTTGCACAGAGGAGGTGGACAAGTTATTCCAACGTCGAGAAGAGTGGTTTATTCTGCTTTCTTGATGGCTACGCCTAGGTTAATGGAGCCGTATTTGTTTGTGGAGGTACAAGCGCCTGCTGATTGTGTTTCTTCGGTTTATACTGTGTTAGCTAAGCGCAGGTTTGTTTTTATAAATTTTTGTGTTTGAATGATGAAATATTGATTTTTGTGGGTTTTAGGGGTCATGTCACGCAAGATGCGCCTGTTCCAGGGTCTCCTTTGTATACAATCAAAGCTTTTATACCTGCTATTGATAGTTTTGGTTTTGAGACTGATTTGAGGACGCATACACAAGGACAAGCTTTTTGTTTGTCTGTGTTTCATCATTGGCAGGTAAATTACGCAATAATTGCTTGGAAAATACTAAAAATCTTAGTTTACACTGATTTAAACGTTCAGAATTAACTTTTTTTTGTAGTTTTGCTAGTATTTTTCCATAAACTCAACAATTTTTGCATGTTTTTCAAACAAAAAACCCTAAAAATCTCACTTTAAACTGATTTAAACGTTCACAACTAACTTTTTTCATAGTTTTGCTACTAATTTTCTATAATCTCAACAGTTTTTTCATGTTTTTCAAGCAAAAAACACTTAAAATCTTCCGTTAAACTGATTTAAACGTGCAAAACTAACTTTTTTCATAGTTTTGCAAGTATTTTTCCATAAACCCAACAATTTTTGCATGTTTTTCAAACAAAAAACACTAAAAATTTCACTTTAAACTGATTTATACGTTCAGAACTAATTTCTTTCATAGTAATGCAACTTTTTTGATAATTTTAACGTTTTATGCATTTTTTTCATACAAATAACGTTCTAGATTGTACCTGGTGATCCCTTGGATAAATCAATCATTATCCGACCGTTGGAGCCTCAACCAGCGACGCATTTAGCCCGTGAGTTTATGATCAAGACTCGTAGACGAAAAGGTTTGAGTCAGGACGTGTCTATCAATAAATTCTTTGATGATCCTATGCTGTTGGAGCTCGCGAGGCAAGACGTGATGCTAAACTATCCACTTTTATAATTTTACACTAAAATTATCTATCTTAAACTGTATCTTTCTGAATCTAGGAAGTAATGTACGTTTTTTATAACTATTCCTGCTAAACTATCTTTGTAAATCAATAAAAATCAATGGAAATCAACGCGAATCAACCGCTCTTTGTGCGCTTTGCTAAAAACTGAAAACCGTTACAGTTTTCCCGCAAATTTTCACTCAATGACAGATTTAGTGGGATTTTAGAGAGAGAAAAGTGAAAATTTATGTTGGTAGCAATGTCCGTGTTAATCTTACGAGGCGGCCATTATTATTTTTAGTGTAAAAACCAAAAGTCCCTAAGTGCTGCAACCCACTATACATCTAACCAAGTAAAACAACTAGTAAAATAGCTTTTCGATAATAAATCTTAAATTATACATTAAAATTGATACTTAATTGATTTATTAGCGTATAATTTCAGTTATTTCGTATTAATTAAATATTTTAATAGTATATTTACGCTGTAAACTATAATTTTAGAAATTAGCGTATATTAAGTTGCTTATACGTAAGGCGAATATTTGTATAAAAATATCCTGAATTTATTTTAAATAACTCGTTTATTTGCTCAATAGCCAATCAATTAATCAACTTGTAAGTATAAATTTAGATTGAAATATTTCGCGGTGCAAACACGAGAGAAAAACAATATTTCAAGGTTATACTCGCAGTTCGCCGCAGTTTGCCGTCCGAAACGTGTCGACTCGCATTGAAATCGACTCTGATTTAATTTCTCCCCAACGTCTTATCATTGTTAATCATATCAGTGTAAATAATCGCAACCTGGCAACCAAGTCACACAGGTACGAAGACGTTTCGCATCGCTTTTCATTTATAATACAATTATTGTCAACGGACGTAATGTCATCGCGTAAAATTTAATCTCTGCATTCGTCCGTAAAAACTCTTCCAAATTGAATGTGTTCATTCAATTCCAAAGCATATCGACGTGAAATTGTAATGTGCACGCGGTTTTCAGATGGCATCGTTCACGAAGCTGCAGAAGCTTGTCCTAGGTCTTGGTGCAGTCAGTGGGGCAGCTATCTACTACATAACTAACGTGTACGAGCCAGAAAAGAAAGAATTCTTAGACAACAAGAAGGTGCACGCGTCATGGACAACGAATTATGTACCGTCAACGAAATGGGATGATAACTGGGACCAGTAAGTTATTATTTTACTTGTTTTATGCATTTTTAAAGCATAAATTTTATGTTTTAAGTCGGCAACCTACCAGTTTGGTGAAACCTCCACGAAATGGTGACACCAACGAAATTTCCAATGAAAAATTAGAAGAGGTGAAGTCACGTTTCACTCGGCATATTATTCTTGTGAGGCATGGTCAATACAACTTGGATGGAGTCAATGACGAGGAGAGATTCCTCACTAAGTTGGGTGTTCAACAAGCTGAGTCCACTGGTGTCAGGCTGAAGCAGCTAAGTTTGCCTTACACAGATATGGTGAGGTCTACTATGACTAGGGCTCAACAGACAGGGGAATTGATATCAAATAGTCTTCCTGATGTAAGTTATAACATCTAAAGCATTTTTAAATGAGTTACTGATTATTATCTTATATTTCTGGTTTAGATCCCAGTTAGAAATTGTGATCTGATTCGTGAGGGTGCTCCAGTGCCACCAGAGCCACCAGTGGGTCATTGGAGGCCTGAACCTCATGTAAGTTATATTTTTTTGTTAATTTTTACTTTGTTTACTTATAAAACTAATTTTTTGTGTCTTAAACTTAGAGTGGTTATATTTTTACTTCATTTTATTAACAATTATTTGTAAATTAATTCCCTGGAGTAATGTAGGGCATGTGAGTCTGTAAATGCGGCATTATTTTAGCAGTTTTTTAAGGACGGTGCAAGGATCGAGGCTGCTTTCCGCGAGTACTTCTATCGCGCCCCTCCGGAGCAGGTGAAGGACACGTACACGATTCTTGTTTGCCATGCGAATGTCATCAGATATTTCGTCTGCAGGTAAAATATAAAATTAATTCATTTTAATATTATTTTTGTTATTAACTTTTTTTTGCAGGGCTTTGCAATTTCCACCTGAAGCCTGGCTGCGATTATCCCTAAACCACGCAAGTATTACCTGGCTATCAATTACACCAAGTGGACGCGTTATTCTTCGCAATCTAGGCGATTCCGGCCATATGCCTCCAAGCTTAATCACCAGCAGATAAAATCTCAGTCGATGAATATTTAATACGTAAAAACTATGAAATTAATTCCGTATCATTTTGTTATAAATTAATTAAAAATTGTGTGTTTATGCTCAAAATATCATGCCAAATCGTTTATTTATGTTTTTAACATGTGAGAACTACAATAAAACAGTTAATAATGCCATTAATTACTGGTTTTGTTTTTGTTTTGACAACTATGACAGTTTATAACCAAATAACACTACTAGAAATACACTAAATAGGTTGGCAATCGTGCACGTGTAAATCTTATGAGGCGGCCATTTTGATTTTGTTAGTGAAATAGCGAAAATCCCTAGAACTTGCCGATTTTGTAGTGGTAACAATGACCGTGTAATTCTTACGGGGCGGCCATTAAAATTTTTTGCACAAAAAATAAAAAATCCCTAGAAATAAAAATTAATTTGGTAAGTTATGTTTGCACCCGTGTATATTTTTAGGTTTTATTTTCAAACTTCTTATAGCCTAATAAAACAACTACTAAAAGTTTAAAACAAATTTAATTAAAAAGTTTAAATAATAAGTACTAATACCATATTAAAAACAACGTATATTTAGTTGCATACATCTGTTTAACTTTTTTTGCTCTGCATCAACATCTGATTTCGCTGACCATCGACATTTGACTTTACGATTCCGGTGTTGATGCAGTTCGTGTTGTTTTTTCGGCCCTGGCGTTGTAAATACACAATGACTTAACGTTCGAGAATGCAAATGTGTACGTCGATTACTATGCAAAACAAATAAATCGTGAGTACTTCACTTCACCGCACCGAAACTCTCCAAACACGCTTTTAAACCATCACAAACCTTCTAGATTGTAGGTTAAACACTTATCAAACTACATTAGTCATGCTTGGAGGAACTTATTGCCCGAACGGCACATCCCTGGACGAAATATGGGTGGATCATGGTATATCCCCATGTTTTATGGAGACAGTCACTGCAGGAGTGATTGGCGCTTACATGCTGATCGCTGGAACTATCCAATTGGTTATCTACAGGAAGTATTCAACTGAAGCAAATGTTCATCATCTGCCTAAAAGTAGACTCTATGGGCTGCAGATATGTCTCTGTTATTTTGTGCCAATGTTTGCCATTGCAAGGCTATTATTGGAAGGGTTTTTGTTGCACAACAAAGTTATTTATGGCTACATGGTAAATAGAACTAGAACTAGATAATCAATAGTTGTGACAATTTAAAACTAATTTTAATGTTTATACTTTAGGCTGTGTCTGCTGGAGTGACCATCTTCATGTACCTGTTTAGCATTGCTTTGATTGTTAAAGAAAGGTATTATCTTTTGCCGTCTGTGCCTACAAGAGGACATGGTTTGGTTTTGTTACTCTTCTGGACTCTTGCTTTCATTGCTGATAATCTTGCCTTTATTAACTTTGAAAAGAAAAGTTGGTGGTTTCATCTGAAAGAGTAATATTTAATATTTTTATGTATTTTATTCAAAAATTTTAAATTATTTTATATTTTAGTGAAACTGATGTTATAGAAATGACTGTCTTCATTGCGCATTATGTGTGTGACCTCTGCCTGTTTGTTTTGGGCTTGAAGGCACCTGGAATAATGCATCATGTCGACTATTTGAGTTTGAACGACGCTGGAAACGCGCGACAAGTAAGTCATTCTCTGTCAAAATGTTATTTGAAGTTTTGTTTACAAAATACACTATGTTAAATTCAAAAGGGCGTTATATTCCGATAAATAAACGTTCGGGCACGTTGCGGCTCTCACGAATGGGAGTAGTTGTTAAATGCAGAGTAAACTATTAAAAATTTTGATTGAAAATTAATAAAAAGATGAATTTCCAGGCTTCGTCCGAGAATGCTTCAACATGGCGCAACTTCTGGAAGAAACTACGCACTTTACTACCGTTTTTATGGCCAAAGAAAGACTTCCTCCTGCAGTTCAGAGTATTATTTTGTTTCATGTTACTCATGGGTGGACGTGTCATTAACTTATACGTCCCGATCTATAGTAAATTAATTGGTAAGTAAAAATAAGTAAAATTGTTTGTTTTTTCATTAAAAATTATATTATTTTAGTTGATAGTATGACGATAATTACCCCGCTTGTCTTCCGTTGGGACTGGATCCTAATCTACGTGAGTTTTAAGTTTTTACAAGGTGGAGGCACTGGAGGAATGGGTTTCCTCAACAATTTGCGCTCGTTTCTTTGGATTAAGATCCAACAGTATACTACAAGAGAAATTGAGGTAAATATTTATAATTTAAACAAATTTTAATTAAATATTAATAAAATTCATAATTTAAAGGTTGAATTATTTAGACATTTACACAGTTTATCCTTACGTTGGCACTTGGGCCGTAAAACCGGCGAAGTTTTGCGAATCATGGACAGAGGCACTGATAGCATCAACAATTTATTAAACTACATCTTGTTTTCCATCGCGCCGACTATTATTGATATCCTGGTGGCTGTTACTTTCTTTATCACAGCGTTTAACATGTGGTTTGGTCTCATTGTATTCACTACGATGTTATTATACATACGTAAGTATTTTTAAATCAAAAAAACTTAAAATATTAATAGTTTTATTTCAGTTGCTACTATAATAATAACGGAATGGCGCACAAAGTTCCAGCGACGTATGAATCTAGCTGATAATGCGACACGGGCGAGGAGCATGGATTCGTTGATTAATTTCGAAACTGTGAAGTATTACGGCGCTGAAGCTTATGAGGTTGATGCTTTCCGGGAAGCTGTATTAGCATATCAAGTAAGACTTAGTTTATTTTTCACATAAAAATTAAATTTATTAATTTATTGATAAAATAGGTAGAAGAATGGAATTCTATGATTACGTTAAACATGCTCAACACTCTACAGAATATTATAATCTGCAGTGGTCTCTTTGGCGGATCACTGCTTTGTGTACACATGGTTGTGGAGCATCAGTCTTTGACTGTTGGTGATTATGTGCTTTTTGCCAGTTATATCATTCAATTGTATACGCCTTTAAATTGGTTTGGAACTTATTACAGGTATTTATCCATCTCACATTTAGTTAATGCTATTATAATTGTTTTTATAATCACTTTAGAGCAATACAGAAAAATTTCGTCGACATGGAAAACATGTTCGATTTACTCAAAGAAGAACAAGAAGTTATTGATGCGCCTGGTGCTGGTCCATTGCTAGTTAAAAAAGGAGTGGTTGAATTTAACAATGTCACGTTTGGCTATCAACCAGAACGGACAATACTCAAGAATATATCGTTTAATGTGCAGCCAGGGAAGACAATCGCGTTTGTCGGGCCAACTGGGTCTGGAAAGAGTACAATCATTCGTCTGCTCTTTAGATTTTACGATGTGCAGACAGGTTCCATAGTTATTGACGGCCAGAATGTGAAAACAGTCACTCAGGAGAGTCTTAGACGTGCTATTGGTGTGGTTCCACAGGATACTGTCCTTTTCAACAACACAATCAAGTAAATTTATTTAGAAATCGAAATTTTATTAAAATTTATTAATTTTTTGATGTTTTTTTAAAGGTATAATATAAAATACGGCCGGTTGGATGCAACAGACGCTGATGTGATTGAAGCAGCACGTGCAGCAGACATCCACGAAAAAATCCTTACTTTCCCGGATGGCTATGACACGCAAGTTGGTGAAAGAGGATTGCGTCTGAGTGGTGGTGAAAAACAACGCGTTGCAATCGCCCGGACGATTTTAAAATCGCCGATTTTGGTGCTGCTTGACGAGGCGACAAGCGCGCTTGATACAAAAACAGAACGTAATATTCAAGGAGCTCTTGAAGGGATTTGTAACAATCGAACGACGATTATTGTCGCGCATCGACTATCAACCATTATACACGCGGATGAAATTCTTGTTTTGAAAGATGGAGAAATTGTTGAACGTGGAAAGTATGTTAACACAACTTTTAAACAAAACATCAAAACAATATTAAATGATTTTTTTTGGCTGTTTAGACATGAATATCTACGATTCCAAGATGGCGTCTACGCATCAATGTGGGCTGAACAATTACGAAATCCAAAGGGTGAAGACCCCGATGAAAGTGTCGGTGATGGTGAGGGTGAAACTGAACAAAGCGCGGACAATCCGCCCGCCCAGTCTTAGAAATATAAAGCGGTGATCAGGGTGAGCGTAGTCTAATTTTTGATATGTTTATTAACGAGCTGAAAATGAAGGTAATTATGAAATTAGTGTAGCTAGCTGCAAATTAAAAACTAAAAGAGTAATCAACTTTATTTATCATAATAAATATTCAATAGAGTTGTGCGTTTGATTGTTGAGTTAAAATTCAAAAACATTCAAAATCAACTTCTGTTTATCATTCCTTTTTGATATCGCAGTGCCATGCTATCAGCCGGAATGGGCACTTTGAAGTTTTTGTACGTTTTTGTTTGCAACATACTCAGCGCAGGTTTTTGTACTTCGTGCAGAAAGTTGTGCGGAAGCGTCACTTCCAATTGTTCATTGTTTCGCGTTGTGAGAAACATTTTATCCTGTAATAATTCATCTGTTGTAGATGTTTCATCTTCCACGGGGATGAGATTTAAGTTTTTTAATGATGATTTCTCGAAGAGTAATGATCTACTGTTGATTGACGGTGGATGTGAAAGAGTTTCAGCTGATAATGATTTCCGGCAATGTAAACAGCGACTTGTTCCATATTCATCGGGATTTTCAGCTGTTAATTTTAGATTTTGATTGAGATAACACTTGTGAAGACATTTACTGTGATAGCATGCAGTTTCCTTCTGTTTTTCATCATTTCTGGGGTTTTCTAAAGTAGCTGTGCTTGAATGACATGCGAAGAAGTTTGATTTTCGAAAAGACATTATATCTTTGATTTTTGTTTGTTGTGTTTTAATTTGGCAACATTTTTCACGCTCTTTACGCTGGGTACGTTCCTGTAGACATCTGTATTCGTCCTGTTTGCGTTTTATTTCTTCTTGTTCATGTTTTAACTCTTTCTCTAGTTCTTCTAGTCTTTGTTTTAAAGTTGTAAAGTAATCTTTTGACTTTGTTTCGTAGTATTCACGACGTTTTGTGTATCTACCTGCAGTTTGGCATCTTTCTGTCTTTGGATGGCTTTGTGGTGAATAGTTTTGTGTCTGTGCTGATTTTGTTCTTGTTCTGGTTGTGTTTTGAGTTTGTGTTTGTTGGCAGCAGCAGGAATCACGCGGTTTACCCATGCATGGCGCAACAGGAAACGATTTGCAATAGCAGTCCGGGCAGAAAGTTTTATGTATTTTGTGTTGTGGAGTGCCACTCTGTGGCTCGGAGAGGATGACCCTTCGGGGCTGTTCATCTTCTGAATCTGTGCCTGTGTAGCTTTCTTCTTCTAGTAATGCTTGTTTATTGTTTTTGTAGTTTTTGTAAGTGCAGTCCGGTTGTAATAAGGTGGACACAGAAGTTGAGTCGTTTCTTCGAATCCATTTCTGCGATGTGAGCGTTTTCTTCGGGCAGATAATGTTGCTGATTACCATTTATTATTGTAAATTGATGGTATATTGATGATGTAAATTGAAATATTGTTTTGCATGCGCCAAAACGCCCCTTGACGCGTGTCCTAGGATACAAACATTTCATTTTTATCTGTTTCCATGGCGAGGGACGCTATACAGACAAATGTTTGGTTTTGCATTGAGCAAGTACATTTATCTTTTGTTTATTTAAACATTTATGTAGCTTGTTTGAGAGAGAATCGATTTATTTGCATTATAGGTGAAAGGATCTGAAGAGATGCAACAGGACTACTAGACGACTCAGGCACAAAGAGGGTATTAAATGTGTATGAAAGGCAGAAATAAAACAATTCATTGTTCTTCATCGTAATTTATTTATTTAAGAATCCCTCTTTTAATCAAGCATGTTTCCAAGTCTAAATCCTTTGAAATTGTTAAAAATTTAGGTAATAGTGCATACTAGTGCCCTCTTTTGGCAATAAGTACAAAGTACAGCCTTTACAGAGTCCTGTAATACTTTAAAGCTTGTAACAAAATAGTTCACATCTTCGCCAACAGACGCGCTAGTTTGTTTAAAACTTTTACACCTTCTCATACATTCTGTGATCCTAATAACAATAAGGATTTTGTCGACTTTGACGAGCAAAATTTCGCTGTGAAAACGTTAAAAATCAGTTTGTGTCATTAGGAGAGCAGAATGTGCGAGGAGGCTGTAAGAGTTTCGACCTCAAATTTAAATCTAGCGCGCAACGTATACTTTGAGTTTTAAAAATGGCAGTTGTAGTAGAGTTTATCATAGAAAGAGGGCACTAATAGATTTGTTTTTAATTAATTTTTGAGGCGAAATAAACTACAAAATTGATTTTTGCTAATAGGATAGCAGAATGTGCGAGGAGGTGGAAAACTTTCGACGGATTTTCGATCGATTTCAGTCCGATTTTCGATTAGGATAATAAATTTTTAACAAGTTTCGACGTCTTTATAATTAAGAATTAATTTTTGAAATCTGAAAACAAATACAATTAAGAATACAAAATTAAGATTATTAAAACTTTAAAAATGTTATTTATTAGTGTGTAATTTCAAGAAACATTAAAATCACCCTTATAGTTTGAAAATTATAACCCATTTTTTACCAAAAATAGGGGCATTTTCAAGGCCCATTTTGAGGTACTTCCTGACGTACTACAGAGTGACTGTATAGCGCACAGAACTCTTTAGCTATAAAATAGTATAAATAAACTTAAAATTACCCCTATGGTTCGCGAGTTATAGCCTATTTTCCACTGGGTATTTTTACAAAATCCCAAAGTAGTGCAACTTTAAAAGCCATTTTGGGGCACTTCCTGACATATTACAGAGTGACTGTATTGCGCACATGAAAGATAAACTCTTCAGCTATAAAATAGTATAAAGAAACTTCAAACTACCCTTATGGTTCGCGAGTTATAGCCCATTTTCCACTAGGTATTTTTACAAAATTACAAAGTAGTGCTACTTTAAGGGCCATTTTGAGGCACTTCCTGACATTCTACAGATTAACTGTATAGCGCACATGAAAGACAAACTCTTCTGCTATAAAACAGTGTAAAGAAACTTCAAACAACCCTTATGGTTCGCAAGTTATAGCCTGTTTTCCACTGGGTGTTTTTACAAAACCACAAAGTAGTGCAACTTCAAGGGCCATTTTGGAGCACTTCCTGACATACTACAGAGTGATTATATAGTGCATATGAAAGATAAACTCTTCAGCTATAAAATAGTATAAAGTAACTTCAAACTACCCTTACGGTTAGCAACTTATAAGTCATTTACTACGGCGTGTTTTTATAAAATTTCAAAGCATTTCAATACAAAACAGAACAAAATCACAGAGACACAATATCTAAAAGCCATAAATATTTAATAGATAATTAGAATTACATCACAATTAAACACACATTATACAACAAAACAGACAATTCCACATGAAAAGCAATGTTTAAATAATAATTCTACCCACATCACACACGCAACATGCAAATTCATGCGTTAATTAAATTACGAACACATTTTCTCACAAATCTATCATCTACCGGCTACACATTAAACATCATTACAATAAACATAGATTATTTACAATTACACACATAAAATTGGCATAGATTCGAGTATTCACTTGAGAGCTGTGATTCAAATAAGTTAAATCGCGTTCGCTTAGCATAATCAACTAATTCCTAACAATTTCAACGCACTTCTAAGCACTATCAACTACTATATACAGTGAGTTCTTAGAATCCTGCTTCTTCATCAACATTAGGAGGAGTTTTCGTTCATAAATATCACAGCACATGAGGCACTTCACATCAAACGCGTTGAATCTTAGTGAAACGTTGGAATCTTTGCCTTTGACATCTTGTACTGCTTGAGGTCTTCATCCTGGGGTAAACTGGCCTTCTCCTGGACAGGAGTGCCATCCAAATGGACCTTCACAACCATAGGTCCTGTCAATGGAGCGCCATCACCAGCAGCCATATCATCTTCATGATCTTGAGTAGTGAATTGTTGTTTTTGTTGGTAATTAAACTGTTGGGCTTGGTTTACTTTTACTGCTTGACCTTGGTAGTTATTTGTCTGTTGAGGGACATATCCTCCCTTAGGGCTCACGTATTGAGATGGTCCGTTGGTAATGACGAATCCTTTGGGAGGTGGAAGACGATAGACAACTGTTTCGATCTTGGCGGAAGCTGCGCCGGTGTAATCGTTGTTGGCAGGTGTTTTCCATGCGAATTGGTCATCTTCATATGAGTTGGGTTTGGCTGTGGTTGTGCGGTAATTAGTGGTGGCAGATGATGGACGACGTTGCTTTACTTTGTCCATCATTTCATGGCCTTCCATCATTGAATCCCAAACTGGAATAAAAAATAAGAAATCATTAGTAAAGCATGTAAGAAACACATTATAGCTAATTGTGTACAATAAAAAGGTGATGGTGATTAATTAGGAGATCATTAAGTGTAATAAACTAGTACAGTAATTGAGTTTGAATATAAATTAATGAAGTTATAGAGAAAAACGTAAAATTTTGCACTTTTGGTCGAAGAGTTAGAAAAATGTAAATTTCTCTGATTTAAAACCTACTAGAATGATTGCAATTAATTGCAATTTATGCAGAATTTAATTAGGTTTAGTTTAAGACCAACTTAATTAATCTGCTAACAAATTAGCAGAAATTGTACGTGATTAACTAAGTAATTTCAAACACAACTAATTGAAGGCAAATGCAACATGTTTCAGTTTAATACTTCGACTTTAACTGCAATTAAGCAATACTTCCTGATAAGTTAATTATAATGTATTAGTATCAAATGATACATAATTTAATTGGCTTTCATTGAGTATATAATATGTTTTTTTATAGAGCATTACACAAAAGTTATTAACAATATTGTAAAATATAACAATTTTTACTTTTTTTGTATTTTAAATTGAGTTTTCTCTATGTGAAATATTATTCATAGATAATTTGATAATATGTACTTAATCAGAATTTAATTAGCTATAATAAACTTTTTTAATCATTAAATTCCCGTAGAAATTAACAAAGTTATAGATAAAAACATAAAAACATACTTTTTTTTCAAGTACGTAATTAAAACATAAATTTCTCCCGTTTACGATCATCTTCAATGATTGTAATTGACTGTAGTTTATGCAGAATTTAATTAGCTTTAATTTATGACCAACATGATTACTCTAGCAACAAATTAGCAAAAACCGTACGCGATCAACTAAATCAATTCAAGCGCAACTAGTAGCAAATGCAACATGTGTCACGGTTAATACCTCAACTTAAACTTCGAATAAACAATACTTCCAAATAAGCAAATTAGGTTTTACTACTATCAGATTAAAGGTAATTTTATTGACTTTCATTTAATCTATAATTTGCTTCTTTATCGCACAATTTACGATAGTTATCAACAAAGTTATACCGCAAATCACAAAAAATTACGTTTTCCAATTGCAATAAAAAAAAAACATCAATTTCTCCTGTTTAAAACCGTCTAAAACACCAATAATCACCTATAATTTATTCAGAATTTAAATGGCTTTAATTTAAGACTAACATGATTACTCTATCTACAAATTAGCAGAAACTGCACGCGATTGACTAAAACATTCCAAGTGCAACTTACTAGTAGAAAATGCAACATGTTTAACGGTTAATACCTTCACTTTAACAACCATTAAACAATACTTGGTGATAAGCAAATTAGGTTTTGCTACTATCAGATTAAAGGTAATTTTATTGACTTTCATTTCATATATAATTTGTTCCTTTATCGCACAATTTACCATAGTTATAGCACAAAACATAAAATCACGTTTTCTCAATACATTAAAAAACATCAATTTCTCCTGTTTAAAATCATCTAAGACTCCAGTAATCACCTATAATTTATTCAGAATTTAATTGGCTTTAATTTAAGACCGACATCATTACTCCAGCAACAAATTAGCAGCAACTGCACGCGATAAACTAAATCACTCCAAGTGCAACCAATTAATTCAGATTAACATTTTTATGATTGATATTTCCTTCTCCTTGAGGCGTGGAAATACCCAAGAAAAGATCAAGGCGAGTTCCGGCTTCGTGTACGCGTATTGCATGTTTATCGCTTATTTAAATATAAATCTGCTGCACAATTTGATCGAATGATTTACGAGCGTTCAAGGCAAAGTCCGACGCGCCGCGTGCATTTAATTAATTCGCGCCGTAGTTGAGAATAATACGCGATGCGCAACAATGAGATGATTATCTATCTGTATAGAATTGGGTTGTTAACATTGAGATGCGAGTCGTGATGATAAAGGTCATCTTGAATGGGAATAAATACTTACTGAGTGTGTGTGCACCGCGCTGATATGGATCCATCGTGTCCAGATGATCTTCAGGCATGTCCTTCAGCTTGCCGAGGCCGAATTTCAACAGCTCACGATTGCAATTGTGCATGTCGCTGAACTCGCAGAAGTCTTCCACTTGATTGGCGAACATTGAGTATAAATAAGACATCTGTAATGGAAAAATTATTCAAGTTATTTGAATGTGAATTTGTAAAGTGTTTTGCGACATTGACATTCAGTTAAAGGAATTAATCGGTGGTTTTCTCGAGATGTTTTGATTTCACATGAATGGGGATTTAATTGGCTATAAAATACCGCCGGAGATTTATAAATAGATGTTAAATTGTAAAAGTTATAAAGGAAAATGTTTCGTAGTGCACAGAGTAAAATTTTTGAAGAATATTTTAACTTCTACGAGTTTAATTTAATATTAATTAGCTTTCCAAATGAGTAATTGATAAGCAATTTACATCAAATCGTAGATAATTTAAATGGCTTTAAGTTGATATATAATATATATAATTTGTTGTTATTAATGGATTTGTTCAATAGTTATTAACAAAATTGTAAAAAGTTAAATTTATTTTAACTTTTAACTTTAACTGCTTTAAAATACATGAAAACTAATTTAATTATGTTTAAACTTTATTAATTTAAATAGAAAATTTAATTGTTTATAATCTGAAGCTAATTTTGTTTAATTTAACCCATAAACAAAAAACTTATAAACGAAAACGTAAACGGTTTCATTTTTATGAGTCATAAAACTATTTTACCGACGGAAAATGTGTATTTAAATAAAATTAAACAACAACAAATACTATTAATTGTTTATAAAATTAATAAACACATAAATTATTTATAGTTTTATGCAAAATTCACTAAGTTAATTTAATTTTTGGGTTCATAATGCTTCAAATTTACAATTTCACACTTTTTTGAAGTAATAGTTGATTATATTCTTAATTTATTATTACATAATCAGTATTTTTAGAGGTATGATTGGTTTGGCTGATTAGTAATATAATTAGCTGTAGATCACCATAAGAATTTTATAAATAGCACTAAAATTGTAAAAGTTATACGCAAATAAGTTCCAGTAAACCAAAACTAAAAATTTCTTCGATTAATTTTTCAAGTTTATCAAGATTTAAACAATACTTCCGGATAAATAAATTATACTGTACTAATATCAAATGAAAGATAATTTAATTGATTTTCATTTCATATAAAATTTGTTTCATTATCATTGAATTTAAAACAATTATAAACAAAAGTGTAAAATAAGTAATTTTTCTACTGTTTGTCAACAAAAGGACGATTTCTCGGTTTAACAACAAATTATTCGAATAAATTAAACTTGTATATCATATAAAATTTATTCTTCTTTAATTTAAGCCCAAATTCAATAAGATCGGACAAAAACTACGCGAGTTATTAGTAAAAGAATGTCACCACTCACCTTTTCATCCTTGCTTAAATATTCCCACATGGGAATCGCCGCCGATTGAACATCCTCCGCCATGAAAACGGCGGCCGAGATGGCGACAAGTAGGCCGCAACACAACGAATTGCGTCTTTGCGTGTTCATCTTGACAAGTCGGATTTCAGTAAACAACAATTACAAATAATGTCTTACACTTTCTTCTTTTTTCTTCTTCTCAAAATACGAATAATCGTATTAAATCAACGCGTAAACTCAGTTTTCACACTTAAAATACACTTTACACACAAATAGCGGATTGCTTGTTGTAAATAAACTCGCGTGTTGTGCGTGGTTTGCTTGCTGGCTGTGAATTGAGTGCGTTTCACACTCGTCGTCGTCTTTATAGCCGCGGCCTTCTCCTCTCAAACTCAAACTCAACATTCAAGTGTTGGTTGGACTTGGAACAAAGTTGTGTATTCAACACACACACACACACACACTTAAACGCAAAAAAGGTAAACGCGAGTTTTACCTGTGCGCAACGTGACGCACGTCGTGTTTTAGATGCTTAGATGCTTTAACTATTGAAATTACTGTGGAATCCCGCATCGCATGACGTCACGTTCCAGCACACGCGTTTTGTTGTTAATTAGTTTCGTTTCGAGCATACGCGAGCAAAAAATCATCGATTCCAAGAGGTAAGATGTAACAATAAACAGATAAACAGGAAGCGGACACTTTTTTTATGAAACAAGCGTCAGGACAACAGAATTTTGGATTTTTGGAAATTTCACTTTTTTATTGATGCGTAGTTTGTGTGTTTTAATTAGTGATTAAATTAGTGATTTATGTTGGATATAATTAATAACATGATTAAGTTGAAAATAATATTTTTATCAATGTTTTTATTGTGTTTTGGCCTCATTTTCATATCTTTACTCTAAACCCATGATGTCATATAGTGTTAAATGTCACTGATTAGTTCATACGGCTGTTTGTATCATGAAAATTACTTAATTGAGTTGATATGCTATAAATAATATGATGTTATGTTGATAATTTATTAAAAAGAGTTGAAAGTGATGGAAATTTTATATGATTCATTCATAGTAGTGAAATTCTTTAGTTTTTTGTTAATAACTTTTAAACTAATTGATTTATTTGAATTATCTCTTTAACACTCTCTGTATTATTAAATTCTGCATCTATTGGTGATTAAAATTTATTGATAACATAGTTTTATCAATTGTTACCGACCAATTTATGTCAAATTTAGAAATTTTGTGAATATCAACTTTAATTGTTTATAACTTTTGGAGAACTCTCAGAATTTACAAAATTTTTACGCCAAATAGTCTGGAATTTAATACAGTATTGATATGTAAAAAATTTTTGATTTTGTTATGGTTTTGTAGTAGTTATTAATAAATTACATAATCTACAATTTAGATTCCTCTTATCATGGGTTGTACAAACTTTAAACATTTATAAAGTTCTGAAATTTATTACTTATGATTGTTTTTGTAAACAAGATTGTTCTAAATTTAATTCGCTTTAATTTAAAGTTTAAATGAATTATTTTTATTGAACATTCTGGGAATAATAAACAAAATTGTTAACGGTTGCAGAAAATGCAATATTACAGTTTAATAACTGCAAACAAAGCATAAATTATGCAAACACAATGTTTTAATGCATTATTAACATTGTAGAATTTATATATGTTTAATTTAAATGTACCATCAGCAATTTACAATAATTTTTATAGAAAATATAAGCAAATAAGTAGATGATTGCATTTAATTTTAAATTTTGCGAAAAGTGTGAATTAGAAAAGTTAGTATTGTTTTAAAGGCGCATATTTTGAAAACTTCAATTTAAAATTTAATTATCTATAAGATAATATACTATTTTCTAAATTTTAATTAAAATTTGATGTTCTACGAGTAAAAAATTTAAATTATTCCTGAAAAGTAATTATGTTCACGTTGTTGAAGTTTAAAGGTGAAATACGTCAAAGAATCATACAAAATAATTGGATTTAAGTGTTGTTATTCACGTTAAATATAATTGACTTTAATTTAAAAGCAAAATAAACAATATTGAACAATATTTATAAAAGATACAAAAACTTTACGGTTTATCAAGTGGAATTTTACTAAAACGCTTTTTTGTGGCATCTTAATTAAAAAGGTTTAATTTTTAGGAATAAAAACAAAAGGAATTTGTATCCAAAATTTAATTGTCTTTAATTTCATGTTTTCATTATTAATGTGGAATAAAAGTTTTAGGAGTTATGAGAAAAATTGTAAATTTTTGCAAAAAATGTTGTTTTTACATTTTTTGTAAATTCAGCAATAAATATTACAAAAACAATACAAATAACAACTATTTTAAATATTATTATTAATATAAAATGTATTAATCTTTAATTTAAATGTAAAATCAACCATTTACAACAATATTTACAGAAGTTACACGCAAATAACCAAAACAATACAGTTTGTCAAATGAAATTAAAATAAAACTCCAAAAATACTTGTTTAAACGCTTATAAAATAAAACCTGTAAGTTTTTATTACAAAAACCAAACAATTTCATGTTCAAAATTTAATTATCTTTAATTACATGTTTACATCATTAATTTCCGATAAATATTCTAAGAATTATAACAAAAAATGTAAATTATTGCAAAAAATCATGTTTTCACATATTTTCTACTTTGAACAAAAAATATCACAAAAATATAACAACAAACCACTATTTTAAATACCACTATTAATACAGAATTTATTAATCTTTAATTTAAATGTATAATCAACCATTTACAACCAGATCTCGCCGATTTACGAGCAAATAACGAAAACATTGCAATTTGTCAAATCGGATTTTTATTCGTTTTCTATTCATGTCCGAGTGTCAACGTTTTTACACAAATTAAAATTTATCATATTTTGCAGCCGGCGTGCATTGTCCGACACATCCTGCACATAAACATAATCGATTGCATGATGTTTTCTTTTTGGCGCCTGTTTTGTTTGTTTTGTTTTTGGGAATTCCGAATTCCTTCGCAATCGGTGACATCGATCGGCGCCAATGTTTTTATTCTTCGGCACCACGCCGGAGAATCCGTGCGCTCATCCTCTTACAACTCCTACGCGCAAGATAAATGCGAATTTTATTAATGAACTCGGCCAACAAGTGTAAACACCAACAACACACACTTGTAACCACTTAAAACGTAAACAAATCTCAAAATGCAACTTTTACTCAACACATTTATTTAATGTGTTTTACAACGCCCTCTATCATAGAATGAATAAAGTATTGTGTAGTTCTATTGTGTGCCACTGTGAGCTACCATTACATTATGTGATTTTTTTGTTTTATGCTTTTATGTTTTTTATTCTTTTCGATTTGTGTTTTGTGTTCAGATGTGATGAGGAATGCGAGAGGCGCCAGCACCCGGATGCTCGACACGACGCGAGTGTCGAGTGTCTTCTTAGCGCGCCGTCGAAGGTTTGCTTGCAAAAAATGTCAACGATTTTTACGACGGCACGACGTCGGAATGCGAAAAATGTTAGACGCAACATGGACGACGCTCTGCCTTGAGACACGCGACACGACGGCGCGGACAGGACCGACCAAAACTGGTCAAAGGTCAGGTCGTCAAGTGCTTTTTGGTCCAACCACATTTTTATTGAATTTTAGGACTTGAATATTAATATATTCAAGGAAACACCCGGTATAGCAAAAGTTTCTTAGAATGTTCTCGAGTTTTGTGTAATTTTTTTTAGTTTTGACGTAAATTTGTTTTTAAAGCTTTGTAAATAGTGTTAAACCTTGATAATTTGAAATTGTTTAAACATTATTTGTTGTAAAATTTAATTGGCTTTAAAATGGCGTTTAAATAATTCAAATTAGTTGATTATTTTGGATTTTATTAATAAAAATGTAAACAATTTCAAAAGTCTGAAAGTGTAGTATTTGTATGAGAATATTATTAATTTTATTTCTAGTTTATGCAGCAATGGCATTTAACAAATGTTTAAACATAAATGTAATTGATAGAAAATTCAATTAACTTTTATTTACAACTAATTTTATGCATTTACTCGTAAAATTGTTGTTGTTATTACATTTTTAAAAGAAAATAAAGTTTTTAGTTTTTAAAAACTAAAATTTCAATTTAAAACCGTTGTAATTACTGATACAAACAATAAATGATCAATTTTCTAGTTATTATTGTTTATGTATTTATTAATCTTTAATCTGGCGTTTACAATTTTTAAATTGAACAATTAGTTTAAAAGTTATTAACAAAAAAGTGATCAATTTACAAACCGATGAATCACTAAAGTGATTAAAACGATAACTTTTGCAAAATCAATAATAACGATAACAATATTGATAAAAACAGATTAAAATCTATCTAGCATTAAAACCAATTAAATTTTAGTTAATAATTTAGAAATACAAGGTGTTTTAAGTATAAATTCGGATCAAATTAATAATTTTTTGAAATATTTCTTTTCTTGTAATTTTTTTGACAATTTTTTATATTTTTGTTAATAACTTTTAAACCATTCACAGTATCCATAAAATTCAAACGGCTATTAAAAGTTAATTAAATTTTCATTATAAACATAATTAAAATTTTGCAAAATATCAACAAATTAATGATTTACAAAGCATTTAAAACTCAAAATTTAATTTCTTCAAACCAAACCGAACCAAAACCAAATTTATCGCTTTAAAAGCCAAACAAATGTGTTAACGATGCATTCTGCCCGCTAGCAAGCAATAACATCGCGAAATAATCTCAAACTCAATAACATCGGATGATTGATGAGCGACATTCATCCCGCAATGGGCCTCCTACAAACGTCAAACAATAAATTTTCTTCAAGAACACCATCGACGCAAAAGTTCATCATTAATTTCAATATAAATATTAAAATCATAAAAATCAGCTTGGAATCAAATCAGAAATCAATGATTGATTTTTAATGCCGCGAATTTTACGATGATTGATGTCACAACAAGTCATCGATTGCGTGATATGACACATGACTTAAGATGCTTTCGGATTGCTGCGAGATGAGGCTTGGAACCTCGAAATTGACATGTTAAGGCCTTTAGAAATTAAAATCGGTAAACAACCGTCATAAAATTAAGGTTTTTCAATGTAAACACTCGTAAACAGAAAACTAATTGTGTTTCAAAGACTTTTTTCGACAAATTAGGAAGATATAGTCTCAGGTGTAAAATTGACGGTGCAAGAGTTTAGTTTTTTATTGATAACTTGAAAACTATTTGAGTTACTTTAATTATTTAAACGTTAATCTAATGAATATTAAATTCTTTGTCACATTATGAAAA